TGTTCAAGTGACTCCATGAACCTCTGGAGAGATTCTGTTAGGTCTGAAGTACTGGACACTTCATCCCCCATACTCCTCATAGGGAGGAGCTGGTCTTGGCACAAGAAATCCCCTCACGTGTTTTTCAGCCCCTCCCTCACTGAGGGTGATCTGCATCAAGAGTTCTCTATAGTTTCACTGAATGACTCAAGGGAGCAAGTTCTGTAGGTGTGTGTTTGGCAGTTCCCTTTGCTCTGAGTTGTTTATTGTCCTCATGCCTCAGCCTGTTGTCTGGATACAAGGATGGCTGTGCGATGACTACAGAGGGATGGATAGATGGACAGACAGGTGAATGGGAAGACACACAAGACAGACCAACAGTGTGGACACTGCACTTTGAATAACAGCAATACAGGGCTGGAGTGATAGCACAGGAGGTAGGGCATTTACCTTGCACATGGTCAACCCAGGTTCAATTCCCAGCATTCCATATGGTCCCCTGAGCACGGCCAGGAGTGATTCCTGAGTGCAAAAGCTAGGAGTAATCCCTGAGCATCACCGGGTGTGACCCAAAAAGAAAATAAAAAAAGAAAGAAAGAAATAGCAGCTATCCTATAATTAGGTATCGGAGACTATAACTTTGGGTAAGTTATTAAACCTTTAAGTACATCAGCTTTTGTCCCCTATAAAATGAGAATATTCATTAGAATAATGTTAAAAATATTGGCTATGTCATGGAATTATTTTAAGAAATCAAATCAGAACATTACTAGCATGTTGGAATTACTAAACAAATATGAATATATATAATAACTGTGATGGCATTCTTATTTTCACCTAAAGGATTATATACATTTGGCATGAAAACATCACAAAATACACTTATATATTGGCTATACATATCTTTGGATGTTTTAGAATTCATTTAATCATTTATCTTATTGGAAATTTAGATTTTTTATTATTTTTCTATGATCCAACTAAAATGCTTCCACTTTTATCTGGTAATTTTCTTGATAGAGTTTCTAGGCAACTGTTACCAAATTCATGCCCATTGTGATAGTTCTTGCTATTCTTATAAAAATCCATTTTTCTCCTAATCTACCAATTTGTTCAGAAAAATAGTCTATTAAAACTTGTTTCAAATTTCACTAACTAAATGAGTAGAAAAAGTGAGCACTTTTGCATAAGTCTTAATCCTAAGACTTGTGTGTATACTAGACGACTTTATGTTGGGATCTTGATGCCGTTCCAATTATTAACTGTGCGAGCTCTCTCTATATAAAGATTGCACATTTTCTACTTACATTCTGGAATTAATCATGTGGGCTGTTTAATTTTAAATTGTGTGTACCTTATCACATGACTGTCTGGGGTTGGAATCATTCAATAAACTAAAATGCACTCATGATTTTATTGTCAGATAATAAGGCAAACTATCTCTGCCTCTCCCTTCATATAAAACCAAATTATATTCCAAGGCTTTGAACCTGAGACTGCTATAAAGTTTGAAATGACACCTTTAGGGCTGGAGAGATAGTACAGCAGATAAGGTGTATAGCAGATAAGGTGTACTCTATGGGATACCACGTTTGGCAGCATGCATCCTGGATTTGATTCCTGGCATCCCATATGGTCCCCTGCCCCCTACTAGGAGTGACCCCTGAGCACAGAATCAGGAGTAAGCCCTGAGTACAGCCAGGTGTGCGCCCTAAACCAAACTAAAATAAAAGGACTTCTTTAGGTAGTATACAGGAAAGATTTTGAGAGGTTTTTTTGTTTGTTTTTTTTTTGTTTTTGTTTTTGTTTTTTGTGAAGAGGGACAAGGTTGAGCTATATACCTGGCAGAGCTCAGGTTTCACTCCTGGCATTGTGCTCAGGGATCATACCTGTTAGTACCATATGTGGTACTGGTGATAGAAGCTAGGTTGGATTTGTGCAAGGAAAGCTAGCTCCTCTGTGCTATCTATTTGGCCCCTGAGTTGATTTTTTGGGGGGTGGGGGGTTGGTGGAACGCACAACGGTCTGTGCTCAGGGGTTACTTTTGCCTCTTCACTCAGGGGTCACTCCAGGCAGGTTTGGGGGACCATATGGAGTGCCAGGAACAAACCTGTGTGGACTGCATGCAAGGCAAACCTTCTACCCGCTGTACTGTCTCTCTGGCACTTTGAGATGATTTTCTTAAGAAAAGATGAAATTGCCAAAATCTGCTGTTAAAAAATGGCATTTCTGGCTTCTAACTCTGCATTGAGACTTTTCACTTGTTCTTTGTTTGGGAGGCTACACCCTGATCAGGAATCAAAGCCAGGGGCCCCTGCATGCCAAGTTTGTGCTCCAACCCCCTAATGAATTATCTCACCACACATTCAGACTTAACTGACTTTCCCCTTATCTCCTACCTTTCATTTTCATGCTTATATCTTGGTTGTCCTGCCCTGAGGGAACTTCTTAATCCGATCTTCTGATCTTGAGTTAGTTCTGTTCCTCACTTGGGCACTTCCTCTGGGAACCAGCCCAGAGCCAAACAGAAGCAAAGTTCTACCACACTCTCTCTATCCAAGCCTGTGACCTGAACTAATAAAGAAAAAGAAAGGGGCTCCCTCCCCAAGCCTATGTTTGCCCTTGAACACATATCTCACTTGCTTATCTCTATGTTTCTTTGCTTGCTTATTTTCATTCTGGAGAAATCTGTGTTCTCTCTTGAACACATATTTCCCCTCTTTCTCTTCTCACATCTTTCATTTCAGCAAGGTGTTTTTTTTTCTTTTTCTTTTTCTTTTTTTTTGCTTTTGGGGTCACACCCAGAGATACTCAGGGGTTGCTCCTGGGTCTGCACTCAGGAATTACTCCTACTGGTGCTCAGGGGTCCATGTGGGACGCTAGGGATCGAACCTGGGTGTATCACATGCAATGCAAACGCTGTGCTATTGCTTAGCCCCTCTTTAAGCAATTTTCATTCAATAAAAACTACCTTACAAAAATAAAGAGAGAGAGGAAGAAAGGAAGGGAAGGAGGGAGGGAGGGAGGGAGGGAGGGAGGAAGGAAGGAAGGAAAGAAAGAAAAATAAAACAACACACCATAGCCAAGCCACCAGACCCCACAACACCAGGCTGTTTCATTAGGGGCAATCCAGAAGGAGGCAGGTGAGGCCCCTCCCTGCTCCAAGGGATCCAGCTTTAGCTGCCAAAAACCTCCAGAACTCAACCCCCACCGTGCTCATGGCCTCTCTCCACTCCCTCAAGCTAAGCCTCACCCATGAGTGAATCTATTCCTGGACATCTCATACTTTACACCACTAATATAACAAAACTAGCACACCACATTTGATGGGGTTTAAAGTAGAAAGCAACCAATCTTAGAGGGATATATATATATATAAATATATATACATATATACATATATACATGGGCTGGAGCGATAGCACAGCGGTAGGGCGTTCGCCTTACAAGCGGCCAACATGGCCGACCCGAGTTCGATTCCTCCGCCCCTCTCGGAGAGCCCGGCAAGCTACCGAGAGTATTCGATATGCCAGACACAGTAACAACAAAGTTTCCAATGTCCAATGGAGACGTTACTGGGCCCGCTCGAGCAAATCGACGATCAACGGGAGGGCCTTTACCTTTACTTTTACATATATACATACACACACACATATATATATATGCATGCACACAAGTCTCAACATTTAACATGTTAGTAATCTCTTATAGAAGGGCCTAATGGCCCCTGGGTAGTACTGTAGCACTGTCCCCTGTTGTTCATCGATTTGCACAAGCGGGTCCAGTAACGTCTCCATTGTGAGACTTGTTGTTACTGTGTTTGGCATATTGAATACGTCACGGGTAGCTTGCCAGGCTTTGCCATGTGGGCGAGATACTCTGGGTTAAATAAAATATTCACACAATTTCCTCTAAGGAAACGTTTTTGAATCATTTTCAGCGGTTTATTCATAACAAACAATAGAAAATAAATTATTTTGGCTTTGCTTTGGAGCAAGGGTTGGGGTTTAGGATGGAAACATCCAAAATATGGTGGTGAGAAGGTGTAATGGTGGTGGGATTAGTGTTCAAATATAAAGTGTAACCAAATATTGTGAACTACTTTATAAAAATAAAATAAAATTGTTAAAGTCATTAATAATAATGAAAGAAAGAAAGAAAGAAAGAAAGGAAGGAAGGAAGGAAGGAAGAAAGGGAAGAAAGGAAGTAAGAAAGAAAAGATACAGTAGGAAGGAAACCAAACAGACTGGAATTGTAGAAAAATAGCAGAAACCATTACCTGCCTACTCTGAACACTATATTTTCCACATTAGTTATTTCAATGATTTCATTGCTCTTCAAATCTTAACTTTCAACTTTGGGGGTCTCTTTACCAAAGCAGCTAAAGTTGATTCATTTTCTTTAAAGTTACTGTTCACAAATGTAATATTAGCACTATCTAACAATATAGACATCAGAAAGATAACTGGGAGATGAGACACTGGATTAGAAGGCAGCTATGTGTTGTGTATGTTCATAGCTTTGAAACCTCAAAAATCAGGTAACACATGGCTAATCAAAAGTGGGGGGGGAAACATCAATGGAAGAGGAAGAAACTCATCAAATCAAGGCAAACTCACATGAGAAACTTTTACATGAGAAGCTCTTAATAACCTATTTTCAGAGAATTCTTAATAGGAAGGGTTAATATTTATGGTCCAGTGTGGAGGAAACAAAACAGAAAGTGAAAGTGCACACATGCAGTTTCTGTGATGCATTTATGGCCTGTGCATGCCCAGAGAATGCACACACACCGAGGCTCTGGAGGAAAGACTAGAAGGAACTGCACTGAGGTTTAAATGGTATTCTTCAGAGCAATATGTTTCCTTCCTTATGCTTGTTTGAGTCTTCCATATTTTATGTGCATATGTTTTATTTATAATCAGCAGAGAAAATTGAAATTTGGTAAGACCGGGAAAAAAAGGCAAGTTTTAATACCTACAGTTTTGAATTGCAACTTTGGATCTGGCTTATTCTTTTAGCTCGTGCGCTTGGTTTTTCCTGATCTTGGCACCCGGCGATTAGGCACAAGAGGAAGTGCCAGGTAGGTTAATTTTTGCTTTATTTTAAATATCAAAATTAAATATTTTGAAGAAAATAGCAGAATGGGTGACAAAGTAATGTAAGCCTAAGCAAATGGCAAATACTAGCTCTTAACCAAGGAGTGTACACAACTGAAATGAAATCCTGGTGCCTGAAATAATTTCAGCATTGCTAGTTCCTGTTCTTGTATGTATTTTGTGAAAACACAATAGTCACAGTGAATTTTTAGTTTCAATACTAGCATTTAAAAGTGTAAATGTCTAATCAATGAAATATTTAATTATTGACACACATAGGCGAGAACTGCTTTATTACTCTTTGAACTTACATTTCTAAGTGTTCTAATTAGCATATTTGCATTATATTCAGGAGATGGAGGACTCAGGCTATATTTTTAACACAAAAGGAAATTCCAGCCTTATCGGGTGTGTTGTGTCATAATTGTCACTCAATTATTGTTGTTTGTTTTAAATCAAGGAAAGTCTGGAGAAGTCAGTGAGCCAGGAAGTCAGTGTGAAGGGAGGGAAGCCAAGTTTGCAAAGGGGTCCGCCACCACCCATGAAGGAGGTGCTTGCCAAGCTAAACATGGGCCAAGAATTCATTTGAAAATGTTTTGTTCTGCTTCTCTGAGCCTAGACCAGTCGCTGCAGCTTACCAGGCGCAGCTGCAGAGTTCTAGGCTTCAGAGCAGGCCCAAACATCACTGTTGGAGTTCTGAGGCCTGAGCCTGGATTTCACTTTATTTAAAGGTGGCCACTCATGGGTACAGTGCCACCAGCAGGTCAACTTATACCTCTGGGGTGAGTGCCTCAGCAGCCTGATGGTGTCTTCAGGCTTCCTGACACCCCCAAAATTGCTACTGTGCCTCTGGCCAGATCCAAAAAGCTTGGGACCAAATTTTCTGAGAAATTAAATGGCCAAAAGTTAAGTATATGGAGAATCACACCCATAAACCACCTGTGGTTCAACTATACAAGCTCATTTTTTGGCCTTGCTTCAGAGGCCCATAAATAAGTCTTGCAAAGAAATCAAAAGCTGTGCAAGGCAGAGCAGACTGGGGTAAACCGGAAGGGGGTAGGTTAGCTTAGTGCCTACCCAAGCAGACCCCCTGTCAGCTGCTTGCTTCCACAGTCCAAAATCGCCACCATGCCCCTGGCCTGACTCCACCGTCTCAGGACACACCTCACTGAGATATAATCTGTTGAAAATTCCCATATGCTGGTTTTGTGACTGAAATCTCCAGGCTTTCTCGAGGTCAGGATGGTCTACCTCTCCCTACCTCCCTGAACTTTCAGAAGCCTCAGCAGTCACAACCACACCCCAAAGCTGACACCCAGTTAAAAAGCTACTCCAGTCTTACCATTCTGATAAAAATATTGAATGCCCTCAGCAAACATGATGACCTTTTAATACCTTTATGGCAAATCATAATGCACAAAAATAGAGGGAGACTGGGAGAATGTGGTGGGGTATTAAGGGATGGTGGGAGGGAAATAGGGGACATTGGTGGTGGAAAATGTACACTGGTGGAGGGATGGGTGTTGGATCACTGTATGATGGAAGGCCAACCAAGAGCAACTTTGTATAGTCTATCACATGGATATTCAATAATTGTTTTAAAAAATAAAGTAATAGGGCTGGAGCAATAGCACAGCAGGTAGGGCGTTTGCCTTGTACACGGCCGACCCGGGTTCGATTCCCAGCATCCCATATGGTCCCCTGAGCACCGCCAGGAATAACTCCTGAGTGCAGAGCCAGGAATAATCCCTGTGCATCGCCAGGTGTGACCCAAAAAGCAAAAATAAAATAAAAAAACAAATAAAGTAATATGGAGGAGCTGGAGTGATAGCGCAGCGGGCAGGGCATTTGCCTTGCACACAGCTCACCCAGGTTCGATTCCCAGCATCCCATGTGGTCCCCTGAGCATCTCCAGGAGTAATTCCTGAGTGCAGAGCCAGGAGTAACCACTGTGCATTGCCAGGTGTGATCCAAAAAGCAAAAAAGAAAAAAGAAAAAAGTAACGTGGAGTTCATGCCTGCTTCAGTCAGCTTAATTAGTGACTGAATAAATAGCAGTACTCCTACATTTTTTTTTTTAAAAAAAGGTGATGAACTTTTTTTTTCTTCTCCAACCTCTCTCTCTCAGATGTGTGCCATACATTGGGAAATCAAAGTAGGGCACTGACAGGCCAATTAAAGGCTGATGCTTAGGAAACACTATGCTAATGTGTAGGCTGATGTGTAGGAAATACCAGCTTTGCTACTGGAGTCATTCCTGAGAATGCCAAGTCTTCATGAACAGTCTGTTTTGTGTCTTTCTGAAAGTGTGTCAGTGGTTTGGCATAATCTTTATGGCATCTTCTGTTTTTCAGATATCATTATGATGGAATATGCATCAAGAGGAGTTCATTCTTCTATGACCAGTATTGCTACCTTCTGGGTGAAAAACAGTATCACAGGTTAGTGTATAACTTTTTGGTATTGTGGTCATAGGTCACAGCCTAATTAGTCTTAGAACTACTCATATTTTAGTTGACTCTAACTTTTTTTTTGCTTTTGCTTTTGCTTTTCTGCCATTAATCCTTCATAAAGATGAAAACATACTCTTGATATGCATAGAAATTCAAGCTCATGTCAAAGCAATGCATTTTAGGTCCATTTTCCTGGCTACTTTTCATTTTGCTCAGCATATCAATTGAAAAAGCCACTTTCTATAGAGTGAATCTCCATTCTCAACCCCTCTGCAAAATTTGACACAATTGATCAATTATTTCTTGAACTCTCATTAGTTTTTGGGACAATGAATCATCCAAATTCTTCCCCATAGTTACTCTCCTTTTCTCCCAATCTCTCTACTCCCCATTAGGTACAGGCATTTTTCTCTAATCTGACCCTGGGTAATCAATGGTGGTTTCCCTACTTCTTTTTGGGCTCAAGATACCGCATTCTCTTTTTTTTCTTTCTTTTGTGTGTGTGTGTGTGTGTGTGTGTGTGTGTAATCTTTCAACTATCACTCTTTCCAGTGAATGACTCTTCCTCCAAATCATTTCCCGCTGGTCCTTATCTCTCTCTCATGAGGCATCCCTCTCTGACTATCTATTGGGCACTTCCTGTTAGATGACCCACTGCTGCCCTATCCTTAGTTGTGGAAATCTAAATTCACAATCTTCCTTTAAATCATCTCTGCCTGTTAACTTCCTCATGTCAATCTCTGTAACCAAGAGATTAAAATCTACACAAAGCCCTGCCCCAAAGTCATACTGACTCCCTTGGTCACAGAATCTTGTTAACTCTTTCTCTTCTGTTCCCCTAGCTCACCCTTTGGAATTGTTGGTATTTCCTTTAAGCCCTGAACATCTTCCATTCAGATACTCTCTTGGTTCCTCTGTGCCCTCCCTCCCCCTCACTTAACACAGACAACCAGATTCATCTTTGCAAAAGTTTGCATTTTCATTATCTAGGAGGTTTGAAACACTCAAGTGATTATTCTCCTCCCCAAAATTGATCAAGGGAATGTTTCTTCTTTCCTTTCCAGCCTTGCAGCCCAGTTCTCTCCAGCTATCCACTTCAGCTATGTTTGTTTCTCTAACAAAGCCTTTGCTCTCACCATCCTACTTTCCTGGGATGCTATTCATTTTTCTGTCTAATTACACTTCCTGGATCCTATGCCTTCCCTCTGGAGCTGCGTCAGAGACTACCTGCGCGTTGAGATCATCTCTAGTCATATCAGCTTTTGTGATTGGTTCTTCCTCCATTTATTCATGTTATTCTAGTCACCCCTTATAAAAGACACCCTCTGTGTAAGGTGTCTGCCAAGATGGAGTCATGAGAAGCTTCCAATGTAGACAAGACATGGACCCTCATATTAATGGTTAATATGGGAGCTATATGCAATTTAAATAGATATTACCTGTTATGAGTTGGTGTCAGACATGTTCAAAAGGCTCCAGAGATAAGTAGAGATGGTGAATAGTACCTGTCTTTGACCAAGATCCATGGAAAGATCTATAAAAGAATGCTCTGAGCTGAATTAGGAGGGAGAGATGTGGGAGATGACAACAGTGTAGTAGAGAGGATAACCAGATTTATGGAGGAATCCCTGTATCACTGTCATCCCGCTGTTCATCAATTTGCTCACGCGGGCGGCAGTAATGTCTCCATTCGTATCAGCCCTGAGATTTTAGCAGCCTTTCCTAACTTGTCCAACAGTGCCATATTGGAGGCTCTTTCAGGGTCAGGGGAATGAGGCACGTTACTGTTACTGTCTTTGGCATATAGAATATGCCACGGGGAGCTTGCCACATGAAGGAATATGAGCAAGAAACAAAGGAAAGAGAAGGCAGAGACTTCTGCTCAGGGACTGCTTTACAGACAGCCTGGAATATGAGTTCAAAAGGCCTTGATTGGGGAGTGGGGTGTCTATAGGTCTTTTGAAGTCCTTTTTGACTGTTAGGGAGTTTTGGCATGAAAATCTTCACATGGAGAGGAGCCATGTGAGGGCTTTGGTCGTATCTATTACCCGTGTTTGGCCTGAAACACAGAGTAGGCTCTGACCTTGCTATTGAAGAATGGGCAACTCATCTTAGGCCTTTAGAAGATGAATAATCCAGAGCTGGCTCTGAGGCTGCTACTGGCATTCTGCTCATACCCGAACCAAAGGGGAAGCAGGTCTGGAAGCCCTTGTGGAGGAGGGCTCTGGGGTGATGTGAGTCAGTGTTCACAACAGGGAGCAGAGATGACTCAGCCAAATTTGTCCCACTGAATCCTCAAACTCAACCTCAACTCAGGTCAGTGGGGTCTGTTTCAAATTAGCTCTTCCCTCAAATCTCGTATTCATTCCTGAGTCACTAAAATGGAAAAATTGCATCAACAACAGAGCAGCTAAGGGAAGGGAAGGAGACCATGAGAAACTGATTTCAGTCATGGTTAAAGCGTGCCTGGGGCCTCCCTCTGGCTCTCAGTGCTGACAGTACCCTCCTAGGCTGGGTCCAGATGGGACATTTCTTTGTTTGCTGCAGATGCCCCAGCAGACAGGCCAATAGCTGGCAAGGCTGGCCCTTAGCTGGAGAGCCGGACACTGGTATGGTGAGGCTGATCTCACAGAGAAGGGGGACGAGGAGGAGAGAGAGACAGAGATAGAGACAGAGACAGAGAGAGACAGAGACAGAAAGAGACACACAGAGAGAGAGAGAGAGAGAGAGAGAGAGAGAGAGAGAGAGAGAGAGGCTAGAACTGGTCTTTGCTGGGGAGAAAACTCCAGTAAGGAAAGAGAAAGGCTACCAGGGGACAAAGATAAGGACAAAAATGACACTAACTTGTTCAGGACATAGGTACTTGCTGACCCTTTTCACATTATCTGTGCTTTTCACAGATTTGATCCTTGAAGTCTTGACCTATTAAGATTTTTTTTAGCATTAAAGGTTAAAAAGGAACTTTTTGACTGATGCTACAATTCAAGAATTTCTAGATTTTAGAAAGCAGAAATACAGTAAATGTGAGCCTTTTATTAATAATCAGTAAATTGGTGACCATGGCCTCTATTTTTTCATATAAGGAAACTGTGACAAATTCCTCTCAAAAACTAGAGTGATTTCTGGCACTGTTTGAACACCAATGGGAGTGACCCCAAGTACCTGGCCGGGAGTAGTCCCTGAGTTCCATGTGGGGGTGGCTCAGAACAAAACATGCAAACCAACAAAAGTATGTGTGGAGGAGCCTGCCCTGGGTTCTATCTCTGGCACAGTCACATGCCAGTGCAAACCCTGCAGCACAGCCATCTTGTGCAACATGGCAGCCCCCCAAAACACACATGAGGTCTTCCAAGTGTGTGAACCTGGGTTTTAGCAATGGCACAACAATGGGAAAGTCACAAGAAAGAGCCTCAAAAGAAAAACACCAACTCTCATGGGTTCAGGTCATGCAGATTTCTCAACAGCCTTCGTTCAGTTGTTTGTTCATTCAGCAAATATTCAGCAAAAATAATTCAGGCTCTGCCCTTGCTGCCAGAGATAAAGCAGCCAATGAGATAAACAAGGCCTCTGCTCTTATCTAGTTTGTTGGGGGAGGAAGACAAAAAGAAGCTTGATCTGGAGGCAAGAAAATAGTTAAAGGCAGGTTTCTCTAAGTAGGACCATTTTAGCTGAAATGAAGTCAAAGGGGGAAAAAAAGCCTGGTAGAGAGCTCTGGGTCAGCTCTGCAGAGGTAAAGAGCAAGTGTGATGGACTCAAGATAGGGCCAAGTGCAAAGTCTGCAAAGTGCAAAGAGAGACCCAAGATAGAGCCGAGTGCAAAGTGGTTGGAGAATGATGGAGAGTAGGTATGGGGGAACCTGAAGGCCCTGGCTGTCTTAGTAAAAAGGGACCATGTATTTCTGATTCTGGAGCAGGAGTAAGCTCTGATTTGTGTCTTCTTTATTTGGGGAGGAGGATCCACAACCTGGCAGAGCTGGAGAACCGCAAAAGGCTACAGCAGAGAGGGGGCAAAGGTTGGGTGAGGGTCATGGGGTCTTTCTTGCACGTGTGAGGTATGCCTTTGCTACTTGAGCCCCATCCCTGGCCCTGACTTTCGTTTTGCTGAGTGGTCTGAAGACAGCAGGCAGAGACAGTGAGGAGGCTTTTGTGCATAAAAAAAAGAAAAAAGAAAAAAGAAAAAAAAGAAACCCAGAGTTGAACCATTAATAGATTGCATTCCTTCATGCTCAGTGCCATAATTCATGGGTTTCAATGGAACAGACTTTATTGTCCACTGGCTACGTGACTCTCCAGGCAGTGTCAATAAGCACTGCGCTCACCCACCCAGGTCTCCCAGCCACTATTTATGCCTTTGCCATCCACTGAGCAAGGGTGATGATATCAATTTCACTGGGCCTTTGGAAAGTGCATTGCTACAAGGCAAACACTTGAAACTGTATCTGGCTCATGGTAAACACTTAATAAACTTCTGAAGCAGATTGTTCTTGGCATGATATATTCATTTTATCATACTTGAATGATTGTTTCATGATATTATGTATGCTTTTTATTTCTGTTAAGATTTTTGTATTTTTAGCTGTATACTTTCCATTGAATTTTTTTGTATGACTATTTATTTTTGGGGAAGGGATCTCTATTTTTCTATTTGTTTCAAGAGAATTCATAACTGCTTATTGGAGCACCTTTATAATGTCTGCTTAAAATCCTTTCTCAGATCATCCCACTGTCTGATTCATCTCAACACTGGCAAAAACTGATTCTTTTTCCATTCAAATTTGGGCCCACCTGACTCTTGTATCACATGATTTTCTACACTATCCTTGGCATTTCAGTTAGGATGAGTACAGTCTCCCGAATAAGCTCTGGCTGAGCTCCTGGCCTCATTTTGTGAGTGCAGTTCCCATGACAGTTTCATTCTCCGAGTCTGAGCTAGTCCGACCTGCTTTATTCTCTGGACATTCTCTGGACACACCAAGTCATTCGTGGTGT